ACTGTGTTGACGGCGGATCACTTCTTGCATATGTTTCGTAGTGTGGAATGGTCGAGCGTAGTGAGTGCCTCTGTAAGTATCTGATTGCATCTGTCTTAGAATGCTCTTTATTTTTGGCTTTTTATATTAAATTTGACCGTAGTTCAAAGGCAAGAAGTAATCCCCGACGTCACCGTTATTTCTTTATTAATTGTAATTTATTACATGTTATTTATTACATTTTCATCAATAATGATTTACATATTATAAAATACAATCATATCTCATATAATAATTTAGACATAGTTTATTACCCTTCATCTTATGTGCTACCATTACATATTGTTTATTATTTCCTGTTTGTTTTATCTAATTAATATATACTCTTTTTCTACGAAATTTCATTAATGTTTTTAAACATTTAAAAGGTACATATGTATATATCTTATTTTTATTAGTATTCATTTTATTTTGTGTGATTGATTGATTGAATACATTATGACATTAATGATCTATTGTTTATACAAATAGTTTATTATGACATTAATGATCTATTGTGTATACAAATATTTTATTATGACATTAATGATCTATTGTGTATACAAATAATTTATTATGACATTAATGATCTATTGTGTATAAAAATAATTTATGACATTAATGATGTACTATGTATATCATTACAAATTTCAAATAATTTAGATATGTGAGAAAGCGTGGTTATTGGACGGAATTTGTTACTTGAGACGGGTCACCGGTTTTAAGTATCGGGGAAATTGAGCCAAGCTTGAGTGAGAAAGGGAAGAAACCGGGATCAAAATATTTTTGAAATAACAGGAATAGTGGCCAGGGAATAACATCTCTTAAGATAAATAAAAAGTGGCTTTGTATTCCATCAGGGCCGATAGTTTTATTGTTACGAAGGAAGAACAGGAATTTATTAACATCGTCAATAATGAACACTATTTTGGAGGGTAAGAAGGAGAAATTGGGGGGAAGGTGTGCTGGACAAGATAAAGAATTGAGAGAAGAGGTATGTATAGAGGAAAAATAATTAGAAAAAATATTAGCTACTTCTTTAAGCGAGGTACTAGAAACATTATTAAACATTACATGCGTGGGTGATATACGAGATGAGTGGGTTTTGCGTACAAAAGTCCAAAAAGAACGAGGGTTACTTAAAAGAGATGACTCTGTACGGGAAATGTAGTCACGGTAGTAACGTTTAGATATAAGTTTATAGCTAACGCGTAAAAGAGAGAAATTTTTATAGCCCATAAGTGATTAGGTTAGTTTGTATCGAGCTTTAGCTGAGTTTTTTAAGTAAACTAGTTTTTTGAGTTCCGGATTGAACCAAGACGGAAAGGTAGAATGATTAGCAAATTTTATGGGAACAAAAGTAAGGATAGAAGAATGTAAGGCGTCTAGGAAAGTGTCCATAGCGTCATCCGTATCCAGAGATTTAAAAGTAAGTTCCCAATTGAAAGAATTGAGGTACTGAATGATACCAGGGAAATTAGATTTATTAAAATTAAAATATGAAAAAGTAGTACTATTTGTTAATGATTTTGATGGGCGGTTGAGGGAATAAGCTAATGGCGGATGAAAGGTATCAGGAGGAACGGCAGATCAAGGTCAACAGATGTAAATTTAGAATTAGTAAAAATTAGATAAAGAATATTACCATGCGCATTTGGAATATTATTGTTTTGATAAAAACCATGAAATGAAAAAGTTTCAGGTACACTTGAGTGCTGTGATAAGGAAGTGGAAGAGTAATAGAGTCCATGATTGTCATTTGCCCATGAAATGAACGGAAGATTATAATCGCCACAGAAAATTAAAGAGTAGGATGGGTACTGTTAGGCTATGAATTCGACTGAGTCTAGAAGTTTATACAAGACGTATAATTCAATTTGGGAGTGAGGAGGGAAATAAACACCGCAAATTATAAAATTATTTGAATTAATACTAAAATGGATGAATAATTGTTCAATACCACAATCTGAGATGGAGAGAGGGAAAGAAGGAATGTCTTTGCGTATGGCTATAAGAACCCCACCAACTCGTTCGCAGGAGCTTTTAGTAGGTGATCTATCAAATCTATATATATTACAATTAATTAAACCTAGTTCAGAGGAGAAAAAATTACTATTAAGCCAAGTTTCAGTGAGTACAATGAACATATAATCAAAACAAGAGGTATTACATTTAAAGTTTGGTACGAAGACTACGGCAGTTTTGATAATATCCGAGAAGGTTAAATGAGTCCTTCATACCACTTAGTCTTGAGGACTAAGCTGATAAGCTGTAATTATTGATGAGGCAGATTCATGTGATTTTGAAATAACATTAATAGCGAGCGTTAATTCACCAGGTTATAAGAAAATATGTATAAAATGTATATTTACTTCAAAGTACGGTGTTTTAACTCATGCAAATAAGTACACTTGAAGACTACCAAAAGTTGATGTAAAACACCTACACCGGATTACCAAAACACAAAAAGAACTAGACAATTTTTAAGTTGAAAAATGATAAATTGTAATTACATGACGTTATCAATTTATGTATTTTTGTAATTTATGTAGTTATATTTACGTTACAATTTTATGTTGAGTTTTAAATATAATATTTACAATATAATATAATATATACAAATTAAAATATACAACAATTTTTCACTGTGTCTTCGAGACGATAATTCTACAAATGTATCTAAATGTACTTTTTCTGGAAGATATTCCTCCGTTTGGCTATATGAGACGGAATATGTTTTGTTCAAATCTAAATTATGCCTAATTCTTTTCAATATTAATTTTAGAAAAGAAGAGATATTTTAGCTAATAGTTAAACTCAAGAAAAAAAGTATTTTGTTTATCCTTCTTATTTTATTACTCTGTATGCAACATCGATAAAGAAATACATAGAAACAGTAAACGTTTGTTCTATAATTACTGCCTTTGCAATAAAATAATACCTAATGGCTAATGTTAATAAATGTTATCATAGTAAAATATTTTTGATAATTCAAAGTTAAAATTACCATGGAAGCAAATACACATAGACATTTTCTTAGTAAATCTAAGTTTCTATCTTTGTATTTATCATATTAATAAAATTAGTTTCATTTGTATTTGTATTATTTTAAACATTAATTGTATTTGCAAGTACTCATTGTGGTATGGGAAATTATTTTAAACCATATATGGTGATGCAATTTCTTTTAAAAATCGAATACAATTCTCAAAAATACCACAGTGCTGGTCATAAATATATTTATTAAAATATTAATTTGAAATGTATAAAATTTCAAAAATGACCAAAAACCAGAAATTTATCAAGGTAATTTTAACTTTTTAATAATTAAACATTTTCCCAATAAATATGCATTATTTTTGTAAAATTAAATTACTTCAGTTAAAATTTTTTTTGGTACGTTAAGTAGATATTTACTTTAAGTTTAAGTAATTAAAACTGTTTATTTATCATGTATTGTTCCATTTTATTTTATTTGTTAAACTCACTAATTTTTGTTCTATAATTTATTTTGCATTTTAGTACTAATAGTAGTGATTATTAAACAAAAATGCTTTATTGAGAGGGCAAAAATAATGTCTGAAATCAATTTTATAATGGTAATGGTTATATTGTGTAAAAATTTATTTTATTTTTTAATTAAAAACATTTGGAAAATAATGTATATATTCAATGAAGTACATTTAAATCTTTTCATTTCAGTAATATTTGAATAAAAAATTTTGGTCGTTGCTAAAACATGGTGATTAAGTTTTTTGACATTATCATTATATGTAATATAGTATTATATGATTTTTTTTTATAAAATATACTGTATTTTCTGTAATGGCTTACTTTTTTTTTTTCGAAAATATTTTATAAAATTGATAAATTATCTCTTAGATTATAGGTTAGCAATTCTATTTTACTTGTAAAAAATATTTTTATACAATAACTACTGGCTAATTGTTAATGTTATAATAGTCAAGTATTCTTGATTATTCAAAGTTACAGTGTCATGGAAACTAATGACTTTTAATATACTAGGATATTTTCTTCTTTTTTGTTAAGATTAATATTCTTTTTTCTCATTTATACGGATTAATTAATTATATTATAAATCATTAATTATATTTGCAAGTAATCACTGTTCAATGGAATGTACGTTAAGTTATAATGTTGATGAAATTTGTTTTAATAAAATTCGATATAATACATTTTTTTTGTTATTTAACTTTCAAACCTATCTCAGTCGTAAGTACATTTATTAAAATATTATTTAAAAATATCTGAATAATATAAAAATAATTTAGATAAATTAATAACAATAAAGATATTTATTAAGATAATTTTTACTTTTTAATAATTTAACATTATCCAGAAAAAAATGTGTACATTGAAAAAATATAACATTATATATATATATAAAATTACATTAGTTAAATTTGTTTGAAACCTTAATAAGATATTTACTTAAAATTTAAATAATTTCTGTTTATTTATTATGTATACTTTGAGAACTGTTCAAAAAATTGAAATTGTTAAATTTACTAATTTTTTTATATACATTATTTTTATTTTAGTACAAATAGTAATGATTAACAAACAATAATACTTTATTGAGAGGGTCAAAAATAATATCAGAAATCAATTTTTATGATAATGATTAAAATGTGTTATTTTTAGTTTTTAAAAACATTTGGAAAATATGTAGTTATTAGATGAGGTAATAAATTTAATGAGGTCACTAAATTTTTTCATTTTAGTAATATTTCAATAAAAAAGTTTTGATATTGCTAAATTATTAGTTTTAGTGATTAGTTTTTGTGACATTATACAAAATCTGATACATATCTAATAATATAATATGAATTTTTTTATAAATATACTGTTTATAAAATTGATTAATTATCTCTCAGATTTAATGTTACCCATAGTAATTTTCTTAGAAAAAATATTGAGAGTCAACTTTTAGCTTTTTATTTGATTAGATATATATCTTTAATTAATTACAGTTAAATTTTTTTTCTGTGTACTTCTAATGATAGTAAATGTATCATTTTGTTTTTTTATTGTAATAATACTTTTAATATATTCTTAACTTAATTAGTTTGTAACTCAGAAAAGTTACATCAAAATTAAGGCTAAAACGATCTCTAATAATTAAATTTGGTTTATAGAAATATCCAAAATGTATTTTAATAGTTCTATATTTGAACTTTAGAATTATTAGCTATGTAATAATTTTGAAGTTCATCCCTATGTTTTGTATGGGTTTCAACATTGTTTATGAGAGAACACATATTTTGAAATAAATGAAATGAAGTTTTGTCTTAATATTAAAAGGCATTTAAATTTTTAACATAACTTTATTCGTTTATTAAATATTTTACTTTTTGACTTAATATACATGTATAATATATATCTTTTAATTATATTATTCTGCAATTACAAAAAAAGTTACTAAAGGACATAGAACAAGCAATAGTACTTTGATGACATTAGTCTTAAAATATTACCTTTGCTATTGTATGGTACAGAACGCTTTTAGAAGGATCAGTTGTTGCAAAGATCATTGATTATATTATTTCGTGGGACAGCTGACCATCAGCATCTTGCTTTACTCACCCCCTTGCCCACCCATCACGGCAAATCGATGACCTCCGTGTCGGTTTTCATCCGTGTACAGTTCATTGTCGTAAGCCAGTCGATTGTTTTTTTGTGTCACTTTTTTTCTGTTGCAAGCGCCTTCGCTTGAATGGTAAAATTGCCCGGCCGTTGTACGCCATAATTTATATTATTTGTTGTTGCACCCTCGTGCTCAAGTTTACGTGCACTTGCACGCCACTATGATTGGGCCCTGACCATCGCTAAACATTATCATTGTCGTAGTCTGTTTTCATCTGCCATTACGTGCCTAGATTTACACTCTGACTCGTCATACTCGAATATTCGACACCATTACCACAAGATCTCATACAGTCCACTCATCACCATCAACAACGTCATCTATACAGCTGAGTCTTATATTATTTTTAATGTTATTTATTGTTTGTTTTAATTGAAATTAACTATTTGTTTTATGCCGCTTCGCCGGCCACTAGTATTTAAGGGCCCCCCGTTACCCCTTAAATTTAAGATACTCTCTGAGGAATTTCTAATATATGTGATTATTTGTTATTTAATTATTGTCTACTCTCGTTTACTTTTTGGATGTATAGTTAGCCGTCATCTCCTAGGTGACCCACTCCCGCATCAATAATAACGTTTTTTTTAATAGGCTTAAGGTAAAACGGCATTCTAGTACGGTGCACAACTAGCCGTCCTACGGTCTAGCTGCCTCGAACACAACAGCTATCTAATATTATTAATTTTTATAATTTAATTACTGGCTAGTCACTAGCCGCTAGTTGTTAATATTATAATAGTTGAGCATTCTTGATTGTTCAAAGTTACAGTGTCATGGAAACAAATGACTTTTAATACAAATTGAGATTTCCTTATTAAATTAGAATTATTTTTTACTTTTTAATAAGATTAATTTTTGTGTGTTCTTGTTTATAAGGATTAATTAATTATATTAGTAAAAATTTAATATTTCATGGAAAGTACGTTAAATATTATACGGTAATGAAATTTATATTGGACTGGTTTTATATAGGCACATATAAAATAAAATTTCAGTGGGTGTTATTACTTTCTCAGCCTAAAAAATATTTTTATTTAATAACACATTATAACCTACATTTATGTGAGGTCAAAATCACATAGCTATTAGTTGCACCTATATAACTNAATCACATAGCTATTAGTTGCACCTATATAACTAACTGTATTTCATTTTTTTGAATATACTTCACTTCAGTTAAGATTACTTTAGACGTTCTATCACCCACAAGAAATATGAAGTACACAAATTATTATTTACGTGATTTCATAACTTAGATAAAAAAAGTGATAAGCATTCATTGATCGATAAAATTATTTGACTATATGAACTTTAAACAAAAAAAAAAAGTTGGTTCTTTAATTAAAGATTCCTCTTTTTTATCATAACCTATATATACATATATATATATACAGGGTGTTCAGTAAGTCTGGAAACGGGTTTCTATTGTTCNAAAAAAAAAAAAATTGTACCCTTATAAGATAAAGGATGAACCTAAAAATTACTCAACAAGGACAAAAAAAATATTACCAAGATTATTATTATTACTTTAGGAAAAATTTAGTAGTCAATGATAAATCAATAACTCTCTAAAACTAATTAAATAACATATACAGGATGATTTTTTTATCATAACCCACTCAATTACTCGCAGAATAATAATAATTTAAACATTTTTTTTTTTATTATCTTTAGTTACACATTATTCTTGAATTTTTAACTATGTAATACTTTTTAAGTTCATCNAATTTTTAACTATGTAATACTTTTTAACTTCATCCCTTGTGCCTTGGAGGGGGGTCATCTTTGTTTTTTTAAATGGTAACACATATTTTTAATTTAATAAAATGTTGGAGTTTTTAATTTAATAGTAAATGGCATTTAAATTTTTAATGTAACTTAATTTGTTTATTAGATATAAACATTTAAAGTTTCAAAATTTTGAGTTAATATACATGTATAATACACATGGGATTGTAAATACAGGTAGCTAATTGGATTTTTATGACATTGCTGTCTCAGTCACGGATTGTTTATTATCAATTATGATTATCAATAGATATACTTTCTGTATTGTCAGTTAGTGTATTTATAAACTCATAACAATGTGCCTTACTANTATTGTCAGTTAGTGTATTTATAAACTCAAAACAATGCGCCTTACTCCAATTGATAATAACAATGCTGTGTATCTGCTAATATCGATTTTTTATGCCAACGATATTAGCAGGTACACAGCATTGTTATTATCAATGATAGTAAGGTACATTGTTGTGAGTTTATAAATACACTAACTGACAATACAAAAAGTATATCTATTGATAGTCATAATTGATAATAAACAATCCGTGACTGNGATAAACAATCCGTGAATGTAATAGCAATATCATAAAAAACCAATTAGCTACCTGTATTTTTAATCCCTTGTGTATTATACCTATATATTAACTCAAAAATTTGAAACTTTAAATGTTTATATCTAATAAATAAATTAAGTTTCATTAAAAATTCAAATGCCATTTACTATTGAATTAAAAACTCAAACATTTTATTAAATTAAAAATATGTGTTACCATTTAAAAAAACAAAGTTGACACCCTTACAAGGTATAAGGGATGAACTTAAAAAGTATTACATAGTTAAAAATTCAAGAATAATGTGTAACTAAAGATAATAAAAAAAAAAATTTAAATTATTATTATTCTGCGAGTAATTGAGTGGGTTATGATAAAAAAATCACTCTGTATAGGTTTTACTTCCATTCCAAAGTGTTCCAGTTACAACCACATGCTATTAAGAATGATTTGAATATTGGATTTGACTAAAAATATTATGGTTAGAATATGTACCAACTTATAAAATATATGACCCAAACTTTGCGGTCTAAAGTTATTACATGTACTAAATATCTCATATATTTACTGTGAATCAATCAGTTCTGAACATGTATCTTAGACAGAGATTGGACCTGTTTATAAATGAGTGGATTTTGAAAAGGAAGAGTAAAGGCAGTAGTCGATATCCAAATTATATTGTATGTACAATCAAAATAAGGGATGAACTTAAAAAGTATTACATAGTTAATAATTCAAGAACAATGTGTAACTAAAGATAATAATAAAAAAAAAATTTTAATTATTATTATTCTGTAAGTAATTGAGTGGGTTATGATAAAAAAATCACTCTGTATATATATATATATAAAGTAGGTGGTGACACAACATATAGGCCACATCGTCATCACATTGCACATCGGGATAGTTTTAATTATTATATGTAATTGTACATTAAAAAAACAAATGACTCGAAGTTCTTTTAGTG